ACCTTTCGTCAAACATTCAGTTGATTTGATCATGTAATTTGATAAAATTTACTCAAATTACAAAAATCAATAGTAATTTATTATACTATACATAATTTAACATTATTTTAATATTAATATCTTTCAGTTATAATATTTGACAAAATTTTAGTTAGACTTAAGATTTGGTAACAAATTAATTATATCTTACTAGTTAAAATCTATTGAGCTGATTTTTATGAAAAATTATAAAACATTTTGAGAGTAATCATTCCAAAGAAATAATAGAAATCATCCTAAAAAGAATGATACAATTGTTTCAAAAAAATGATAAAAATCATTTCAAAAGAAATATTATTTTATACTATTCATTTTCGAAAGAACAATGCTTTTAATTATTCTTTAAAAAACAATATTTTTTATCATTTTTTTGAAAGAATAATACTTTTAGAATAATACATTATTGTTCTGAAAGAATGATTCTTTTCATCAGTCTATTAGAATGATATATTATCATTCTTTTGAAATGATAAAAATATTATTTCTTTAGAATGATTTTTATATCATTTTTAAGAAATGATCAAAATATCGTTTCTTTCAAACAATTTTGTTATTATTCTTAAAGAATAATCAAATTTTATTTCTTTAGCTAATATTAAATTAATAAAAATTATGATTGATAATCATAAATAAAATTTAAATATATAAAAAAATAAAAAATTAGAAAAGAAATACAAATATTTTATTATATTATATGAAGGATTTACTAAATTAACTGATTATATTATTCACTTTATCACCAAAAATCATTCAAATAAGAAAAATACTAAAAACAAAAAAACCTAAATGAAATCTAACTAAAAAAGATATATAATATTTCACTTAAATCTATCCATAAAATAAAATTTTTTTTTTCAATATATTTTTATAATATAACTATTTTTGCAAATCCATAGCCTTTTGATTTAAATTTTGATTTTCCAAAAAAAAATTCGAAATAAAAATGATAATATAATTAAAACTAAAAATAGATATTGTAATTATAAAGTTATAACATTATATTAATAATTAAAGTTAGAAAAAATAATAATAAAAATAACTTACTATTTACCTTTCTTTTTTTTGTAGATGATGAAGATAAGTTTATTTAGAAAATCAGAAAAAAATATTTAAAAATTAAAAAAAAATTTTACAGTTATCTTTCTTTCTTACTGTTACCTTTTTTTTTGTATATAATAGAAATGATGAATGAAAACAAAATTTTAAGAGTAATTTAAAGAAGGAATAAAGGTTAGAAAAAAAGAAGATTAAAAAAAAGAAAAGAATTCAAAAATTTATCTAAAAAAATTATTAAACAAAAAATTATATTAAAAGTTGAATAAATTCATAATTTTAAATAATATTTGAAGTAATATTTTCACGATTATTTACATAATTATTATAAATATAATTACATGATATCATATATATTAATTTTATGTATTTATAAATAAACATTTATATTTGATAAATAAATAAAATTTGAATGCGTTTTATTAAATGTAAAAGTTATATTGTATTTAAAGAACTAACTAGTTAACTGGTCATAATCAAATTACTATTTAAATTAAGTTACAATTATAATTAATAACAACTATCATAAATAATACAAATAAGTTGCAACAATTATAATTTATTAATTTATTATTAGGTTGCAACTTAGGTTGCAACTACAATCAATCTCCCCATAAAATCACATTATATAAATCCTACGTTATAAGCATACCTTTCATAAAAACGAGTTCCTATTAAAAAAAATACTTCTATATGGTCACTTTTCACTATAATCACACTTTTTATTTTTGGTTCCGAGGGTTGCAACTTTAATAAATTTAATAAAGTTGTAACTTATGTAATTTAATTATAGTTACCATCTTTAATATTAACAAATAATACTTTATATAACTAATTATAATTTAACAAAATCTCAAAACTATTATACCGAAACTTTAATCATTGTTTCCCGAAATGGCAATTATCTGCATAAGCCACCCATCTAGATAAAAAAAAATTTTTTTTTTGATTTTTGTAGAGAATAATATTAAAGAGTGCCTTTGATTTTTCAAATAGCAATCTCGATAAATTATGCAAATCACAACTTCAAAAAACCAATAGTTTTAAGTTTAACTTGTAAAAATGAGTAAAATGACTTTTCATCAAACATTTTTTCTCATTTCAAAAACTCTTAATAGAACATTTCATACATCATCTTTATCATCATTAAAAACCAACCCTCAATTGTTACAAATAAATCGATCAAGAAAACAATTAATACCGTATGGGAATAAATTATTTGTTCGTAACATACATTGCTTACAACCCCTTCCTTATCCTATCGACAAGGGTTTAGAACCTTTATTTAGTGTTGAAACATTACAAAGTTTATTTGGTTATCAAGCATTTCTTATCGATAATTTAAATAAACTTACTGATGGTAAAAAAATTTTTCTTTTTATCTATAAAAATCTCCTCGTTATTTTTTTTATTTATCTAATCGAAATATTTCTTTTAATTAGACACGGAATTTCAGGATTGTTCCATCTTTGAAATAATTGATAAAACTGCTCAAGTTTCGGAACATGCCTTAATATTTAATCATGCGTCCCAAGCATGGAATAATGATTTTTTCTTGCAAACTTTGGCGGTAAATCAATTTCTTTACTTAAAATATTTGATTGATAAAGTTTTCTTAAAATTAGGATCTTTTGATTGTTTAGGCCAAAGAAGGTGATAAAGAACTTAATGGTACAGACTTGTATGAAAGGATTAAGGAAGAATTCGAAAGTATTGAAAATTTCAAGGAGCATGTAAAGTATATATAAAGTTGTAGGTTTTATATATCACATTCATTTATTAACGTATTAACTTTTCAAATTAGTTTAAAAATATGGCGTTAGGGATATTTGGTTCAGGATGGACATGGTAAGAGAAAAAAGATTCTCAGTAATTTATGAATTACAGCCTTTTCAAATTTTTTTGAAATAAAGTTAAGATATAAATGGTTTTTAGGCTTGTGGAAACGGAAAATGATGTTCTTCGCGTAGTCAACACATATAATGCAGGTAAGAAATCAAAAAGAAATTCTCTCAAAGTTATTAAATCAAATCTTCAATCTTCAACTCTTTTATTATAGGAACGACACTTGATGTAACGAGAACTCAAGAGAAAGATCCAAATAATCATCCAACACCTTCTTCACCATTTTTATCTTCATCGAAAACAAATGTCGGAGATATTAATAAACCATCACCACCACCTTTTATAAAATTAGCTTTAAGACCCCCACATAAAAGTAGATTTATTCCTTTATTGTGTCTAAATATGTGGGAACATGCTTATATTAAAGATTTTGGTATTCAAGGCAAAGAAATATATATCGATAGTTTTTGGAGTCGCATTAATTGGGAAGTTGTACTACAAAGAACTTCAAAGCGTAATAGTTTTATGTAAATTTGTAAATTTATAAAAGAAAAAATTTTGCAGTTTCGATAATATTTCTTTAAAAAAATTTTTTGAAATTTGAGCAAAAAAGATTTTCATTTTACGAACGACATCCAAGAAATATAAATATTTATTACCAATACATCTCATCCATTAATCAATATATTCTTCATTACCTCTCCCTTTCACTCGACCACCTATTGATAAACCATTCTCATGCCCAGGCTGTCCAGTTATTCTCTACATATATATTATCGGTTGAACACGTCTCTGAAGGAAGGACTCTTCCAGATCCAACTTATTCCATCCGTCTAAAATTGTTAATTCTAACTATTCTTGTTGACAATGTCTTTAAAATGAAAGTAATGCGAAAGGAAATGGGTCCTTATGTTTTAACGGAAGCTAAAAAGTTTTCTCTCACTAGTCCCGGTATCTACTTTGGTGATTTAATATAATAATACTCTGGGAAACTATCAAACTAACGAAAGTAAATTGAGAAATTACAATTGTCTATATTTAGTATGTCAAACTGAATGTCCTAGTCTTTTCACAGTCATTTCATTTGACAATAGGCTTTTTTTATTTATATAATTCGAGTAAATTAAAAATAACCCAATAAGGATGGACTATAAAGGCATGAATTTCTTGTGATAATTCTTGATCGATCACCAACTGATTATTTTTCGTAATCAAGAAATAAAGAAATAGTTTCTATCGCAATTAATTTTATGACGAAATTTTAAAGTCATAGTAATGATGTCAAAATGTAGTAATTGTCGAGACGGTGTAACTAAAACACCAATCAAGGCGAAGAGTTCAGTGGGTGGGTTTCGTGAAAAGGTGCATAATAACGATGCGATGTTTACACGTTTCCAATATCACCATTTTTTGTATCACTCTTACATACTGTAAAACCCTTTAAAAAAATAATGGTTATTTTCACAAAAAAATAAAAAAAATAAATATCAATATCACGTGTGATAGAAATTCATTTTATATTTAATTTACCTAGTACTGTATGCATCTTGGAATAAAGTGTTGAAAATCATTCTATAGGACAGATCTCTAAATGCATAAGAACTAAATGATATGATACAACATAGATTTGTGAACCAAATATATTATTTCCCATCGAACAGGAGAAGAAGCTTTGTGCATCTTTTTGAGCAACAAATAGTTTATTTTACTTTCCTTTAATTAATTTGCCTTCTCCTTCGGTTGAAAATTGTCTTTGGTCTTTGTCAAAATAAACATAAAAAAATCAAATATAATAGGTATGTGTAACCGAGAAATTAAATTTTAATTGGGCTCTTTTTATATTTCTCTCGAATGAGGCAAATGATAAAACTGTTATGGCAAATTCACCGGTAATTTCCCACAAAAATATTGATGGTATTCAGCCACAATTGAGATTTATTCGTTGATATAAAATCCTCGTTTTCCCTCAACCTTTTAAATTAATTATCCAAGCAAAACATATTTGAGAGTTAATGTATTACTCACTATTTTTTCATTCATGCGTTTTCTCTCTCATTTGAACTATGTTTGCTCGTACCGTGTTGGCCTTTTTGGCCTGGCGGAAAAAAGGGTCGAAAAAACAAAATTCCAACAAAGAAGTCATCGAAACAAGTTCGGATTTCCTCGCCCGTAAACAAAATTTGGAGACGTTTACCATTCCTTTCGAACCGGAACAGTTAAACAAAATGGAACAACCAAAAAATTCGCTGGCTAAGGATAAAGGATCTACCGATAAACCCGCTATAGTTAACGCGTTGGAAAATGATAAACATGCAGACGCGAAAATTAATTCGAAAGCAAGCAGATGTAAAGAAGAGCCGTCAATAAAAGTTCCTGAAAATTATTCGCTTGACATTACTTTTGATCAAAATAATAAAGAGGTTATTGAAGTTTTTTCAAGTTCTAACCAGGTAGATTTGTCCAACAATACCAACTGCCATAATGCGGAAATTGTTACTCCTATTAATGAACCAAAGACTCGAGTGTCAAACTTGTCTCAACAGATTGAAATAACGGATTCTACTGATACTTTCAACCTTGCGAGCTACTTTAGTTATGAACCCGCGCAAATTTCTATTGATTTTAGTCACATGACTAATACATCTGATACATCGACATCTGAAAATAAATGTAAGACAATCAAAGGTAAATTGAGGCATAGTGATTCCATTATTTATCAAAAGGAATTGAGTTTAGAATTCGAATCAATTCATAATTTAAAGAGAACTTGCTCAAATATTGTTTTGTCAAGAAATCAACAACCGTCGACTTCAACTCCAAAATCATTGCATCATTCTCGTACCTTCCCATTAGATAGATCCTATCATAAGTCAATTATCAAACAAAATGGAAATAATGCTTCTGTTTTACAAAGATCTACATCTCTTGGTTCAGCCGTAGAATCTGTAGCAATGCCTAATGAAGAAATAATTATAACGAATAATCGTAAAGTACTTCAGATAACTGGTACAAAGCCAATATCAACTTCATATGACAATAAAAAAGCTAAATCAGTAATTTCGTTTCGTCATTATCACTTCGAAGAGATCTTAGTAGATCCATGTATTGCTGAAGGTACTATTCTTACGAAAATTACAGCAAAAAAAAAGCAATTGCGAAAATTTAGAATTGATGTTGAACAGTGTCGCATATTATGGGATTCAAAAAAATCTGGAAAAGGTATTTGCAATTGATTTTCACGTTCAATTTAGTATTGATTCTTTATAATATCTCATGCAAGTTATCTTTTAATAGTAAATATTGAAAATATAAAAGAAATTAGAATTGGTGAAGCAATTCGTAATTATCGGGAACATTTCAAGATGAGTATTGATCATGAATCTCGATGGTTTACAATAGTTTATGTTGAGGCCGGAAAATATAAGATTCTTCATCTTGTCGCTGATTCTTTTGATTTGTTTAATAAATGGGTGGATCATTTAGAAAGATTATATTTACATAGAAGAGATATGATGGGGGGATTAGGACGTTTAGAAGAAAAACAGTCTATTTGGTTGAGGCAATATTGGAAACAAGCTGACAAGGATGGTGACTCAAAATTAAAATTTGAAGAAGTTGCTAGATTATGTCGTCAATTAAACATAAATATGTCAAAGTCATTATTAAAGAAAAAATTTGAAGTTTGTTTAAAGTTTTTTTTTTTTTTATTTACACATTGGTGATGACATTTATTAACAATATTCATTACGACTGACTAGGAGGCAGATGTAAATAAACATGGATATCTCGACTTTGTTGACTTTCAGCAATTTGTAAAGATAATCAAGAAACGACAAGAATTAGCTGACATTTTTGAACAGATAAAAACTCAAAAAAATAAAAGTACCTTGACACCGCAAGAATTCAAAAATTTTCTGTTGAATAAACAAAAAGTATGTTATTCATCCTTTTAATGGTAAATGAAAGGTGTTTATACTCAACTTCTTTTTATTTATTTTTTAGTGCAATCTTAAGGAAGAAGATTACGATAATCTCTATTACAAATTCTGCAACAAAGACCGAAAGGAAATGATGAACCTTGAAGGCTTTAGTAGCTTTTTGATGTCTAGCGACAATCCTGTTTTTGTTTTAGAACATACCAAAGTCTATCAAGACATGTCGCGTCCTTTGAATCATTATTTCATCGATTCTTCTCATAATACGTATGTTAATTTATCTCTTAATTGGATTCGATATTTCATTATTAATCAATTAATCATTTTTACAATAGTTACCTTCTCGGTCATCAGTTGACAGGAGAGTCTTCTATAGAAGGTTATATACGCGTTTTGCAACGTGGCTGTCGATGTGTTGAAAGTATGTGATATCACTTTCGTTATTTATATATTCTCAGTAAAGGATCCTTTAACAAATTGCCACTTACTTTATAATATAGTTGATTGTTGGGATGGACCTGATGAACCTATAGTTACACATGGTCATACATTGTGAGTTACAACTCTGATACTATGCATCTTACTACTTCCGTTATACTCGATTTAATTTTGGATATGTAGCGCACGCTAAGTTTTTATAGTTCTGCGGAACTTTAAGATCGTGTGGGTCTGCATATCTGGTAAATCGTATTCAATTAGAACATATTTAATAAATTTTTATCTTAATTTAAATGCGATTAGGACATCAAAAATTTTATTTAAGGACGTTATTTCTGCTATTCGCACATATGCATTTAAAGCTAGTCCTTATCCATTGATTCTGTCACTTGAAGTTCATTGTTCTGTTGAACAACAAAACATAATGGCAACAATATTAACTAATACCTTAGGAAATCTTCTTGTCACCAGTTTCTTAAATAATGAACCTGAATTGCCTAGTCCTAAAAGTTTAATGTATAAAATTCTATTAAAAGTAAGCTCCTGAAAAAAAAGAAAAAGTGAAGATAAGTTTTCCAATACTTCAGGAAATCCTTATTAATTTCTAAATCTCTCGATTTAATAGGGAAAAAATCTCCCATCAGATGCAAGCGAAGATTCTTTTGATTCTGCTACAGATACAGAGTCGGCTACAGATACCGAATCAGATGCTGAATCATCAAGAGGCAAGTAATTTTAATTTTCTTTCCATTTTAGTTGATAAATATTAACTCTGTCTGACCTTTATTTTACGTTTAGATAAGTTACAAACTAAAAAGGGTAAATCAAGAGTTTCCAAAGCTCTTTCTGACTTAGTAATTTATTGTTCTGCTGTCAAATTCAAAGGATTTGATTATCATCGCGGTATGTATAAAAACTATTATGAAGAATATTTTGAACACCTAGTTTGATATTATTACAATAGGGATTATTAATATATCATTTTGATTTTAGAGAAATCCATGTTTTACCACATGTCTTCATTTTCCGAGAGAGTTTCAAGTCGACTTTGCAAAACAGAAAAGCAACCTTTTATTCAACATAATTCCCGATATTTGTCGCGTATTTACCCAGCAGGATTTCGTATAAGTTCATCCAATTATGAGCCACATTTTCATTGGATGGTTGGAAGTCAAATGGTAGCTTTGAATTATCAGACGTTTGGTTAGTTAACATTTCGTTTAACTTCTAAAAATTATGATACGTTTTCAATAACTTTTAATCGACTTTTATCAGATTTAGGTATGCAAATAAACCAAGCCATGTTCACTGTTAATGGAAGATGTGGATATGTTCTTAAACCTGAACGAATGCGTAGTATCGAATCTACAATTTCTGTTTCGCCAACAAAATCAACACATTCTCTGGAGATTAAGGTAAAAAAGATTTTTTTAAAAAATTATATCATTATTAATTAATATTAACTTTTATTTATTTATAAATAAAATAAATAGATTATATCTGCTCAACAACTTCCTAGACCTAAGGATGTGGTCAAGGGGGAAATTATCGATCCATTTATTGAAATAGAATTATTGGTTCCAGGTGCAGATGTCGTTAAACAGAAGACCGCTATAATAGATGATAATGGGTTTAACCCATATTGGAACGAAACTTTAAAGTTTACCATTGATTTTGAATATTTGGAACTTGTGTTCTTACGGTAATCAATTTATTACAAATCCCTTAAACGTTTTTTTTGCTTCAATTTTGCTTGCAATTTATTTCAATTTCTCATGTAAATTTGTTAAAAATTATAGATTTGTCGTATGGGATCAAGATATAAGGACGAGTGATTTTATTGCATCATATTGTATCCCAGTAGCCAGTTTACAACAAGGTAAAGTTCCAAGAGATTATTTTTATTATGAATTCATTTAATGCATAAATCATTATATTTATTTATCTAAAAAAAAAATAGGTTATCGCCATATTCCCCTTAACGATATTAATGGTGATCAATATCCATTCACTACCTTGTTCATTTATTCCTCATTGGAATGAATGTATGGGGAAATATACATATATATAATAGACATTCTTTTCCTACTTAATTTATTAAAATTATATAATGTATTTATTATATATATATACATTATTATATTATTTGTAGAAAGTTTCTCTTTTTTTTAAAAAAAAATCTTTATTCGTCATTTTTAAAGAATAATTTCAAAAAAAATAAAAATAAAAATAAAAATAATCTTATATATTTCTTGTAATTAAATCATTAGAAGTAGCATTTAATGAAAGGTTTATATTTTTATAAAGATTTATTATCATTGAATGCTTTATACAGTACATTAAAAAAATGTTTTTAAAAAATCGTTATTTTTCGGGTAGTTACACTTTACAAGTTTTAAAAAGTTTGCGCTATTAATTTAAAAATTATAAAGATGCAATACTACGCTTACTCTTATAATCTTTGATAGCAGATTTAATAGCATCCTCCGCAAGCACTAAAGAATAAAGTTTTATCAATATGCAAAATTCATAGAAAAGTGAACATATAATTATAATTATTAAAACTTACTTGAACAATGAAGTTTAACAGGTGGTAAGCATAACTCTTTTGCAATTTCAGTATTTCTAATTCTTCCAGCTTCTTCCAAAGACATTCCTCGTACTCGTTCCGTCATGTAACTTGAAGAAGCAATGGCAGAACCACATCCGAATGTCTTGAATTTAACATCAACAATTTTACCAGAATGTTCATCAACTCGAATTTGAAGTTTCATAACATCACCGCAAGCTGGTGCCCCAACAAGCCCGGTTCCTACATCGGGGTCCGTTTTAGGTAATGCTCCAACATTACGAGGACGTTCATAATGATCAATTACCTATATAATTAAAGGAATAAATTAAGTATTTTTATTTATTTTCTCAAAAGGACAAGGCAAATTTTGTCAAAAAAAAATAAAACTGTTTCTCGCTGTTAAACCAACCTTTTCATGATATGACCGTATAAGACTAAAGGCTATAGGACGACGAACGCTTGAACTAGTAGTCATATTAATTTGAGAAATTAAATTTATATTTCGTCTTAAGGTTGAGCGCAACATGTTTTTTGTTTTTTTTTTTTGAAAAAAATTTAGATGAAATGTAAAAAAAAAAAAAAAGAAGAGGATATTTTTTTATTTCTTTGGTGGTGAAATTTTTAAATATTTATAGATCCTACAAAAACACCCTTATCAGATTATTGAATTACTAATACAATAATGAGTGACACTAAAAATCTGATATGCTTGAAATGGTTTATCTATCCCAATCTGATTAATCAGATTAACGTTATAAGTTCTATCTAAATTTCAAATCTAAACCACAATTGTTTAGATTAAAGAATTCAAAAATAAAGCCGATCTGATAATTTTATATATTTTTGGATCGTCAAACTTTCACATTTTTTTTTCACATGTTACACATATTTATTTTTATTACACAAATAAATATATATAAGTCGGTTATCTCTATATGATCGCTTCCTAATAAGTATAATCTCTAAATAATAAATAATCTTTTTATATTAATCGCAATAGAATTTTATTGTTTTATATTAAACGTTCGTTTTAAATAATATTAAATTAAGAGAATTTGTATTTTACGCTTGCACAAAATGTACCCATGCATATTAAATATGTATTTTTATAATATACAACCCATGCAGTCTATATGATCACGTGTATGATAATTTAGACTTTTATCGTTTTGTTTATTGATTTACCCACGTTTCTTTTCTTTCTCTTCTTTCTATTCTTTCTTTCACTTTTTTTTTTATAAATTTTATCATTGAATATCCTAAAATGAGCGATTCAAAATCATTTTCAAGTGATTTTATTGAAAATATTCCAGATGATAGTTGAAGTGAACATGAAGATGATGACGAATTACTATCCTATGATATAAATATTTCATCTTTGACATTGGAAATTTGATTATCCTTTTTTATTTGGAAGGCTGCTTTTACACATATTAAACTCTGGGCTCATAAGCAAGGCTTTTTTATTCGTAAAGGAAGATCTGAAAAAAAAGAATCCAAACGAAGAAAACAGACAATTGTATGTCGCTATGAAGGAGTTTACAATAATAAATCAAGAAAATCATCAAAATTCTCATCGAACAGGTTGTAAGTGGTATGTTAATCTCTTCTGACCAATTAAAGACAATCCAAATGATATGATTTTATTACTACACTTTTTAATGATCCTTTTGCATACCATTTTGAGGTATCTAAAGCTTTTACAAAACCAATGTTAAAGGATATTGAATGAATGTTTGTATAAGGTCATCTAAAACCATTAGCAATTAAACGTATGTTGAAAGCGAAATATAATAGTTATTTACAAGTATCATCTTAGTAATGATACACAAAGTAATAATGTTTCACAAGTCTTAGAATATCTTGAAAATGAAAAAATGATGATCCACATTGGGTAATTTATAAGGATTGGGATCACGAAACTAATATACTAACAAAATTCTTTTGGATGAATCCTAATCAATTGGAAACTTGATGTTCATATAGTAATGTTATTCTTAATAACAATACTCACTTTTCTTTTTTGTAGCAATTGACAATAATATGAAATCATAAATTGTTGCTTAAGTACTAATAGATTAGGAGACTAAAAATGCATATGTATGGATTTTGCAATGTATTATAGAAGCAAAAAGACTAATTTTAAGAGTATTTGTAACAGATACAGATCCTGGTATGGATGTTACAATTCAATTAAAATATCCTTCTACATTATATATTGTATTTGACACATTAGTCAGAATTTATCATTGTCAAAACTTGGTGGATTATTTAATCAATTTAAGAATGATTTTTATGAATGTTAAAAATGTTAAAACAGTTTGAAACTAGAAGTATTTGAATAATGTTGGATAAATTTACTCACTAATTATTCAACTATTACAAACTATCTTGAAAGAACATTTTATCCATCTAAAACTTCTTAAACACATGTATTTAGTATTAATATTTTTACATTAGATATACAACTACATCATAAAATGAATTTGTTAATTAATGATGCTGTTCAAAACCTATTTTAACGTGTAGCTTAAAAATTTAGAAACTATTTTGAAACCTTTAAAATACCTTTTTTTTTAAATCTAAAATTTGATGAAACCTAATTAAGTTTAGAAAATCCTATTAGAAGTTTAGGTAAAGATATTTATTATAAACAAATAGTTTTATTTCAAATATCTTGAAATTCAAATTTTTTAAAAATAATTTAAGAAGGTGTTTTTACTATTAATATTACTTTTAAATAGCTATTATATAACTCTAATAACATATTAATAAATGTTTTTTTATAGTTAAGAAATACTTAAAGAAGAAGCAAGATAATAATGATTATGAAAATTAGCATAATATATTTTCAGCTACTTAATCTATTACAATTAATGTTTTACAAAAAATCTGATTTGATCTGAATTTGATTCAGATCTGACAGATCAGATCAAATTAGATTTATTAAATTTAAATTAAATTCAAATTCAGATTTGGGTTTGATTAAATCCATTAGATCTGGATCAGATTCAAATTCAGATTTAATTCAATCCATCAGATTCAGATTTGGATTTGAATCTGATCCATCAAAATTAAATTTAAAATAAAAAAATTTATTCTGAAAGTTGAAAATAACATTTATTTTTTTAATTAGAAAATTTGTTCTAACAGTCAGAAATGATATTTATTATTAAAAAAATAGGTTTATTATTTTTTTGATAATAAAATTTCTGACAGTCAAAGGTGGCTTTTCTATTAAAAAATAATAAATTTATTTTTTTAATAATAAATGATGTGGGAAGTTTGCTAGGAAAATAGGTTCTGAGACATTTTTTAAAAAATTGAAATTTTTGATACATATTAATCTATAACTTATAAACTTTAATTGGTTAA